TGACCACTTGTGCCTTAGAGGTTTTTATTGCCTTACATGAAGGTAATGCTGTCTAGAATAGTCAGTGGGAATTTTTCAAATTATAAAATAAGTGTGCTGGTTCAAATAGACATTCTGCAGGGAAATCTTATGTAAGTCTAACAAACATGAAACAAAAATACCACAGAGAAAATTATAAATAATAAAGAATGTCCTATTATGCAATGGTGGGATGGAATTGATGAAAGTAATTTAATTATGCCTGTTCTTGTAACTGGTATGCAAGATTACAGAAATTCATTATATATATATATATATATATATATATATACGAAATGGATTAAATCTGACATATTGTTATTTTTAATTTATTTTGTTTAAATGCTATTTTTGAGTATCCATAAAAAAAATAATGTTTAAGCAAAATAAATTGAAAATAAATCCTCTTCCTTTCTGATTCTAAGTAGAATTGTACTTTTTGTTTCTATTTTCTCTAAAACTTTGTCATGTTTGGTCCATGGTATTCTCAGCAATCCTTGCTTGAACCACATTTCTGTTGCCTCAAGCCTCTTCTTCATCTTCAAAGAGATTGTCCAGCATTCACTGCTATATAGGAGGACAGATATTACTCTTTTCTTTGTTTCCAATGATTAAAAAACAGGGAAATTTTGTTAAAATCAAAGAAAAGAGTACTGAAATGTTATCTAATAAATACTACACATTTTTAATATCTTAATGTATAGATCAGTTATAGCAAATTGAGTATAGGAGATAAGGATATTAAACACATGATAATCCATGCAAGGGGTAGTTTTTTCAACATTGCAAGATACTACAAAAGCAAAGTATTAACCTAACAACTATAGTCATGTTCTTATATAACCTTGTAGAGTTTTAGATACAACACTTTGCCTCGTGAGCAGATAACTTCATGAGTTAGTGCCCTTTGCATAGTTAGGGATAACTGAGATGAATTAGTGTCTTTGGCAGCTACAGAATTAGTCTGGAACTGAGAAGGGGTTGGAGCAAGATGTGCAGCAAGATGTCCAGACCACACACCAATGGGGAATAAAAGATATTCCTAGATGGTAGCTGACGACCTTACCTTAAGTTAAAGGGAGTGACCTTTTAGAGTGAAACCATGACCTATTCTAAGTACAATGTTTATGTCGTGTTTTATTGTCATTTTGCATGGTTACAGTTAATGAAAATGAAAATGTATCTGTTTGTGGTAATAATTATAATTATTTCCACTTATCTAATTCTTCATAAGTACATAAGCACATCTCAAAATATATAAAAAGCATCTGTCCAGCATCATATTTGTACTGCTAATCTCTCTAAATAAAGTTTTGCAATTAACACTCTCTTTGAGATTATTCATTATAATTTATTCAGCTTGATTAGTGGAATAAATATGGTGCCAGGTAATGTTTTTAGATGTAGCTCAGTACTTAGGAAGAGTTAGTTAAGGAGAGGTAATTAGAATTATTGCCACATTATACTTGTTCTCTTTTCAGTTCAATTATGCTACAAGTGTGGAAAAAATAAGGGATTGCCTTCACACACGGTACAGCTGTCAGTCAGTAGGCCCAGGTGCATTAGCATATTATGGCAAATTAAGTGTACCTCACAAAACTATAGCCTTGTCGTGGTGAGAGTGGTTGGTCCATGTTATAAAAAAGGGTTTCCCTCCTCCACTTGCTGGTAGTTCAATTTTTGAATTCTTAGCTAAACTAGCATGTGTTCATCATCAGACTAATCAACAATTGTTACCAAAAGGTATACATGTTACTAAGCCGCCACCAACCAATGTTACCAGAATGTTACTCTAAGCTTCTCTGCTAGATACCTACAATTATGATACATTTCAATAGATCCTTGACAGATGTAGAGGTCATGTAACTGAGGCAGTATTTTCACAAAACATTGCCAGGGAATTGACTCGACGGTTTCTCCTGACCTGAACCTGACTCTTTGTTGAGAAGAAACATAGCTTTCTCAACACAAATTCTATTCATTAAAATCCTAATGATCAATTATGAGGCTTATGAAAGTGACTGTCCAAGGAAGATTGTATTTAATTGCACCTGGTTCCTTTGGTGACACCATGAAGATTGGTCTTATGAAGTATTCGATTTTTAATATCTTTTGACAGACATTTTCATGTCTGCAAGCATCTTGGATATTCTTCAAACCAGGTTACTTCACTTGGCTCTGCCAAAAGCACTTGCTGGAGGTGCACTTTAAGCCTATAAATAGACAATGTTATTCTCTCTAACTCTCTTTTACAGATTTCTGGTTCTGGCTTTCAGATGTAACCACATGTGGTCAAAATGTCACCCACTGGGACATGTTCATTTTTATGGTTTCATCTCTCTTGACTTTTGTACTATCTCACACATGTCTACCACACACAGACAAACAAGCACATTCTTATTATAACTTGTTTTAATGTTTTTTCCTTTTGTGACATATAGTTGGTCTGTTTCCTAAACATTGTTTTTGTCATTTGCAACTTGGCCATTTGCTATGCACCAATGAACCCATTTTTCTCTGTATTCTATATATGATCGAAATATATACTTATCTTTTCCCTTCCTATTTTTGTATTTATGTTCCCCCATGATAATTTCTTTGTAACTTTGCTCTGGTTATTTGGTATTTTTCTAACATAAAAAATTTAGTGTTTTCTAATATGGGTAGCTTAAACATTAAACCATCTCTTCCCAACTTTCAGTTTAGCTAGAGACTATATGTTTAATTCATTTTTTTTTTTACTATCCCCTGACTCATCCAATCTTCAATTTATTTATACAGAAGATGTCAGATGACTGCAAACAATTTGGTAGTCAGGATTATTTTTTTCTTAATAGGTGAAAGTGTTTAATGATCTCAAGACAGATTTCAACAAAAGTAAATGTCTGAAGTGTCAACTGGTAACACTTGACAAGGTAAATAAATTAGTTGCTTATGTTATTTAAGCTTAGAAAAGGTCAGGATTGAGATTTCAAGTTCAAAAAGCTTCCAGAAAACAAGTCAATATTTACTGGACATATGCCAAGGTTATTTAAAAAATCATATCTGGTATCTAAGATTACAAACTGGTGAGGCAAATGTTATGGCTCACTTGCTATAGAGACTGAACTTTTTATCTTTTAGCAAAATTTTTTAACCAGGTGCTTAAAGAAGAAATATTTCCTCCCAAGGTTATAGAAGGTGTCAGTTGGATGGCCAGTTTTCCAGAATGCGGGTGAGGGCTCATTGCCATATCAATATTGGCACATTGGTCTCCTCAGTGTCGTCAGCAAACTCTTTGAAGTTGTAAAAAAGTTGCTAAGGAGCTGTGGCACAACTATGTCAGTACAGATGCAAAAGAGGCTCCAGATCACATGCGGACATGTTTGTCAACACCAGTTACATCTGGGTTTCCCTATTAGCTGCAGGAAAGCTTGGCATGTCTAGATACGGCCCTCTCTGCAACTGATCAAGATCTGGGTCTTTGTAAGATGCCTCATGTTAATAAAAAGCAAGAGGGAAAACCAGCAGTTGGCAAGACATGGTATCTTGTGAAGTTAGTCTCATGGGCATTTTGTTCCTAAAGTTGCTATGGTTTCCAAGGCAGTGTCATTTTTGTTGCCTCTCTGCCTATTACCCCTGTAGTTGGTGGGTGAGCAATTGGTTAGGTGTTTCCTCTAATCTGAAAACAGTCTTTGCTTACATTGCAACAGCAACTCAACAGGGATAACTTCTTGGGGCAACAAACAATACAGATTTTGATCTGATTGGTTCACTGCTGGTGTCCTAATTGTCATTACACACAGAATCAGCAAGGCATTTGACAATAGACACATCAATGAAAATAGAACATAAAGGTAACAATACCAGAATTAATTTCTTCTTTTTCTCCATATCTCATTCTCTGAAGAAAGTTTTAATAAAAGTGAAACATGTTAGATTGATAGACATTTCATATTTGTTCCATATATATATATATATATATATATATATATATATATATATATATATATATATTAGGAAAAATCTATAACAAAGTGGAAGAAAATTTTGTGTGCTGTGTTTCATCCTTTAGGACTTCAAAGAATGAAATGTGTCACACAAAAACTTCTTCCATTTTTTCATAGTTTTTTTTCCTAAAATTGTTCTTGATATATCAAACTTATATATCACTGAATAGATTCATTGCTACTTGAGCATTCACCCACATTAGTCAGTCAGAAGTTATGATCATGATGTATTCATTGGTTAATTTTGGTAACACTCTTACAACATCCTTCACATAATTCCATTCTTTATCTTCTGGCACTGAAAAATATCTGCATTAATAATGAACACAAGTTTTATATGTGACTATTGGAATCTTCCATCACAGTCATGTGTGTGCATTTTACCATGTCAACATGAATTTTCTATAGATAGCTGAGTTTACAGTTAATCAAGCTTCCATATCTCAGGCCTGCACGGAAAATAGAGAATTGAAATACAAGTTGATTATATATATATATATATATATATATATATATATTGTATTTAGGCTGCAATCCCTCTTTTATACATGTTTTGTTAAAGATGACTGACACGGTACTTTCACCTATACTTTTAGCCATTATCAAGGATGATTTTATTTTTACTTTTTAACTGAATGTATGAGTTGTGGGTATATATATCTAAAATTATCTATTGCTAAATTTATCCTCAAAAATAAAAATTTTCACTTAAAAAGTAAAAAGAAAACACTTAAACAAAAATTAAATAATAAGCTCTTTAAGCATATCCTGTGTGTTAAATTCTCCAAGCTTTCTTTTCTTATTAAGTGTCTCAGAAATTTCAGCCATTTGTTTTTGATTGTATCAGATTCCTCATGTTGTTCTTATTTTCTTTCAAACTTCCTCATTACTAACATGTTCTTTCCATGATACTCTCAGTGTTTATTTAAAAAAGACAAAAATAAAACATTGCTATTATAGGACACTTGATTTTAAAAATTACACAGTACTTACAATTGTCCTCAACATCTTTGTTATCATCCTCTTCTGCAGGATAAGTTTTGTCATAAAAGGCATTAATAGTCTGAAAAGAGAAAAGAGAATTTAAATTTAAATACAGAATTTAATCAGTGTTTATTTTACTATAAAAATCAAAAGAAACATTTCAAATATTGACAGAAGATTGTGAGAAAAAGAACAAAATGTATTCATTGAAACAACAAAAGTTAGCTTACATTTAATTTGCATGCACATTTCATACACTGAATGTTTCAACTATTATTAGGCAGGGTAATGTAATTTACTATTGGTTCCCTTTATAACTGAGATAACCAAAGATCAAAAATCAAATACTTTTACCTCTGCGATTAGGCAGCAGTTGTGATATTACAAAACATCAAAGCATTTTGGTCAGTGACCCTTACCTGCATTGTGGACATAATGTTCTTACTGATTAATTCAATGTGGAGATTGAAATGAAATCACCCCCACCCAATACCGAGTTCTGATTTATCAAACAAAGTCTCTCAGTTTATGTTATTTACATTGTTCGTACTGTTGTCCTCATCTTTATTGCTACATTCATGACATTTCATTCATTATATGCTCAGACTTTCTTCAGGATTTATCTATATTTCTGAGATGACGTATTGTAACTATTTACACTATTTACATTATTCAGACTTGCCATATTCACAATGTTTATTTCCATATTCACAATATTTTTTGGCTATTGCATGTTCTGGCCTTCTTCAGGTGCTATTTGTTGGGATTTCAAACCAAACCCTTTATCTAGTCCACAGGGGTAGATTATTTAGTCCACAGCACATGGAATTAGAACAAAGGGTTCAGTTTGAAATTCAAACAAATGTCACCTAAACAAGGCTGGTGTGTAAAATGGCCAAAATGTCATGAATATGTCAATAAAAATGAGGGCAGCAGTTTGAACAAATATAAATATATATAAATAGTATAAATAGTTATATTAGCTCATCTCAGAAATATAGACAGATGTTGAAAGTGTCTCAGATCCATAATACAGAATTCTGGTGTGTTTTATTTTTATACACAAAAAGGTGTTCTTATGATTTTCTTCTCCTTCAGAAATCACATTACAATCTGACATGACTTCTTTCTACAAGTTGCCCTTGATGAGCACTGAATTCTGATATTGCCCAAACTCATTCTCTTCATCTGCTTTTCCTATAGATATCACTTGACATTACTCATCAATTTAGCTAGGTTTGAATATTTTCCTTGTTTGAAAACCCATATACTGGTTTGTCAAGTGTTTTGTTTATGAAATCTTTTGGTTACCTTGGTTTTAAAGAAGATTTTGGGTTGAATATTATTTACATGAACATGGCTTTCTTACCCACTCCCCATAAGTTCTAGTGACAAGGTTGACATTATCCAGTTTCTATTTGTCAACTTCCTGAGAACCTGACACATGGTGCATTTTTTAATATCACAGCATTGCTGTGTATGAAAGACACATCTCAGTTGTTATCATATGAACTTTAATTATTTTCCTTGACAGATGTTTGAAAGTATAAGGTGGTCTATTTTTTGTCTTTTGGACTTGTTAATAGCTATATATATATATATATATATATATATATATATATATATATATATATATATATATATATATGAAGGAATCACTGAGTGATATGCTGTACTTTTTGTGGTGGAGGAGGGGCAGCAAACTCAAGGGCTGCCCCAGGCAGCACACTAGTTACGCCATGGTAATGCTGTTTGATCAATGAATGCTAAATGTTTCCTTAAAATGAAACAACTAATTTCACCATATATATATATATATATATATATATATATATTAGTAGTAAACTATAAAATCCAAAATTACTTCATATGGGGTACAGTTCTATTTCAACAGACAAAAACTTTGTCAGTCTTATTCAACCCTGGTATACAGACTGAGTTTGTGTCAGAATTAGAAATTTAACTGTGACAGCTGTCGAAAAATTAAAGCAGAAATTATCCATTTCAATTTTTCAGTCAGACGGATAGCAAGAGACAGTGGAGAGGGTGGAAGGTATTTGCGTTAAAGAAAAGAAGGTAATGGCCAGTGTGAGAGGTATAATGGAATAATTTGGAAAACAGCTCAACTAGCAACTGCTAATAAACAGGTAGCTTTACAGAATTGGGAACAATTATTCCCAGAGGCCCTGCATGCAATTAGAAAGCTGCTATATACAGCCACTAATGCAACATCCTATGGACTATTCCTCTCATTTCTAGAAGTTCAACTGGAGTGTCTCTACCATCTTGGCTCTTGAAATTGGGAGTGATATTACTAAAAAGACACACACGGCTGTATAAGAATGAACCACTGGTGGATCAAGTGGAGCTTCTAGATGCCAACTCCCAGTAAGTGTGTGTATCCGTTACCCTGATGGATGGGAAGACACAGTCTCATTAAAGAACTTGACTCCTGCAGGTGATGAATTGGGACCCACAAGCCTAAACGAGGACTGTCCTCAGGACACTTCAACTGACTTTGTAGAAACAGAAACATGGTCTCCTTTTGAAGATCACAAGGAACCCTTGAGCTCTGGTCCCTTGAGTGGTGACAAATGAGTTTCATAGAAGGGAGCCTGCCCACCTACCAATATTTCAGAGGATGAACTTGTAGAAGATTATGAAAATGCAGCAGGATTAAATCCAGTTCTAGTGAGGAAGAGGGAGAACCACACCATGCTCCTGTCAATCCATCACGGTCTTGCATGCAGCAAAAGATTCAAGGGCTTTTTCCCTCTGTAAGAATAAGGAAGGCAAGGATATGGTATGATTCATTTCTCCCATTTCTGTCCTGAAAACATATATTCAGGAGAACACTCTACTGATATGCAGAGTTAAAGCTTTCTGTTAAGCAAATACATCTCAAACAATTCTACTACAGCCAGTAGCTGTTTATTAAAGGTGTTGACTGCTTGACTGACAGAAGTTTATCTAATTTTTTTTCTACAATGGATATATATGTATAAATTACTTGAGGAATATAATGTGAGCACCTTTTAAACATATTTTTTAACTATCCAGTAATCCTAAAAATTTATTTTTTATAATTTATTCTCCATAATCTAATGTTTTATTGAATTTTAGGTACTTTGGCTTTAAATCCAATGTAGTTGCCACTCTTTTTTCTGATAATGGCACATTTATACACATACAAAAAAATTCAAAATTCTTTTTAAAATATTGGGGGTTGCTAAATTGTATAAGCTTTTACATTTATGATTAGTAAATATAGTTTTTACTTAATAACAATATCACCTAATCTCTGCAAAGTAAGATAGAATTTTAAGATTTCAAACTTGATAAATTATTCTAATTAAAATTTAAAAAAAAAATGAAAACAATTCTTGTAAAAATTCATTATTCACCCCCAAAATTTTTTTCTAACATTTTTTTCATGTTCAAGATATATGTTATTCATATAAGCAATTCAGAGCTTTTCTAATGAAATAATATCTTATTTTTTTCTTTTTTCATTCAGTGCAGATTTTCAGTAACTGGTGGTCCTGTTTTACAAAAAGATATTGATGAGTTAAATTCTCCAAGGAGTTCTGCTTTTAACTAATATATACATTAAGCAGGTCAAAATTTAATTTGACCAAATTTTATAAAATTAAATAAGGAGGTGGGGGGTAAATTTTCTAAAAGACAATACATTTCTTAAATAATTTAATTTATCTGTGAATAAGTCCTGAAAATTTAATTAAAATCTGACAATTATTTAATTTGTGCAGGAATTTTCAAATCAATGTGTTTTTTCACCACAAAAAAATATGCTAAAATTTTCTGTATCTTTGCCCAACCACTGATGAAAAAAAAGAAAAGATTTTAATAAAAATTTGAAACGTTTTAAAAAGGATCAAAAATAATAATTTAATAAAAAACAAAAAAAGACTTTTGGTCCTTCCTCTTAATAATTAGAAAGATTTTGATAATAAAACTTTGTCTTTATTAAATTTGGGACATTTTTTCATTTTTTTAGCAAATCAATGGAAGTACCTATACTAATAGGAGTAAGTTTCAAATAAGCTGAGTTTACATATATTTATACAGTCAGAATTATTCAAGTTTTGTAATAACAAATGTTTTGTTATAACATTAAAGTCTTCTGAGAGATGCTGTTGCTTTCCTTAATTTATAAAACGTTTGACAATTTAGATATTATAATAATTGAAGCTTGTAGGTGTTCACAGTAATCCATTGTTGGAAAGAAAGAATATGTTACACTCATATTTTGGTTTCAGTTGGCAAAGGCCAAATGTAGTCAATCTTATTAAAGCATTAAAGCCATATTTAATTTTGAACAAAGCCTGAACATGTCAGTGTGTGGTGCCAGAAGTCTGAAAGCAAGCGATAAATATTCATCTGTCCCATCTACCCACACTCCCCGCCCCATGGAGAATGTCAATTGAGACCAATAGAATGACATGCTAGCCAAAAAAAAGCTTCCATTACCATCATTAACATGTCTTAATTATTGTGGGAAACTCTTCTGGTCTGATTGTTAATCTTGTGGGAATGGATGATGGGAAGTGTTCAGTGTGGGAGAGGGCTCCTTTGAGAGTTTTCTCACAAATTAGTGATGTAATTGATTAAATTAGCTTCAGTTATTTTTTTGTTTCCTTGACGACTATTCTCTTTGTTCTTTCTCCTCAGTAACGTTTTTTTATCAATTTCTTTCACTCTCAGGAATCCCTTATGGCATTGTTGTCTTGCTATGACCTCTGAGACAAGTCAGTAAATGAAAGCTAGAAGAAAGGATTAACTACTAATTGTATGTATTGATTTCAGTTCGAGAAAATGGCCAAAATGTAGACTGTGAAGTGGAGATGTCAACATTAAACAACTAAAAAAAAATAAAATATTTTTTTAATCATTTCACCCCAAGCAAGGCAATAAAGCCACTAAGAAAGAACAGGTTACTGAATGCTAGAGCATGAGGAAAAAAAGCACTTATAAGAAGAGATAACAATAAAAGAACAAGAATTAAGAAAACAGAAACTAATGATTAACATTGAATCTAAATCTTTGAAGATCAAAGTT